GGCACAATAAAAAAAAAAAAAAAAAAGTTATCAGACAATTGAGTGGTATGGATGACATAATCCGACAACAGAATTTCGCCGAGGAAAGTGTCCCTCATTATTTAAATGAGATCATTTTATAAAAATATTAAATTACTCCCAGACTATTTTAACGAGGGCTAAATAAGTTCGCAGATGAACTATTTTAACACATATTAAAAGAGTCCGGCAATTAAATTGATACTTTTATAAACGTTGAGATTGAAATGAGCCCCCGCAAAGAATCGGGGACCATTTTAATACTGGTTCTGAAATTTGGCCCAAAGAGACAACTGTTAATACCTGATACAGACCCTCGAGGATCAAACTCATCTAAAGAAGCAACTTCCTTTTCATGAGCTTGAGCAGATTCACTAGCAACACTTTCTGGAGCTTGGTTTGTACCGCTTGAAGAAGTTTCTTTGAGTCCTGAAGGTGAAGATGCTTTTTGCATTGATGCCATCTCAGCAATTCTGCCCCTAAATTGGGCATATAAAATATCATAAAAATTAGCTATAATCACAAATGAATGTCGGGGAATTTACATACATGACACCCAATTCCTATGCATTTACATAGCTAACACTTAAACTTTACTTCTTAAATTTATACCACCAAAACTTTGATATAGCATAAAAAAATGCCATCATTTTGATTTTTAAAAGGTGAAGTATGCCTTTTCACGCATAGGTAATCTGGCATTTATGTCAAAATTGAAGTTCAAGTGTTAGCTACGAAAATACAAAGGAATTGTGTGGTATGTAAATCTTCCAAAAATGTTTTACCATCTACCAACAAATAAGGAACTCGTCATACTTATTCTGAACAGTAGACCAGGAATCATTGGTGGCAACTTCGTAACTCGGGGATGTATCAATTCTGTGTAAAATATGCACTATGAAATTATCAATTTATAGGTTAATTATTGTAAATTCTACTATACCAAAGTTAAGAATTCAGTCCCAAAAAGAATTGATAGAGCTTCTATAACTTCAAAGCCAACCTTTCATCATGCAAAATCTCACATATCTGCCACTATCATTCAAGGAATTAAATATAGCTGAGTTATATTTAAACATTGAAACCCTAGGGAATAATATACTAACTACTACGGCTGAAACTAGTGTTTCAAGAGATTTTTTTTTATAAAATAAAAGGCAAGAAGGCATGATATCATTTTATACATTTCAAAACAAAATTTTTTATTTTTTTTGGAGGAAATTTTACATTAAAAGATGCCTGTTGCTGTTTTGGAAAACTGCAAAATAGCTCATTAAAAGGCTTGGGGAGCTAATAAGGTAAGAAAGGATGGATTACAAAAAAAAATAGGGCATTTACATACATACCACCCAATTCTTATGTATTTACATATCTAAAACCTAAACTTTAATTTTTACATGTATACCGCCCAAATCATTCATAGCACATCAAAAATAAACAAATTTAAATTTAAAAAAGTGGAATAAACCTTTTCATGCATATTTAAGATGGCATGTATGTAAAAATTGAAGTTTAGGTACTAGATATGTAAATACAAAATAATTGAAAGTTATGTATGTAAATCTTTCAAAAATTTAATAGCTGATCCTTGGATTAAAGAAATTTAAAATACCTGGTTGAATGACGATCATAATCATCAAAAGAATTATTTGTATATCCATCAACACTTTGACACTTTGACCTGTACGTGCTAGCAACATTAGCACGAACTTTGTAGTTATCATCCTCCCTATTTCCACCTTCATCAATGAAGCGGGCGCTTGAAGACAAAGGAGGCAGAGAAACCCTAACATTGGAAAACTTATGATTATTAAATAAACAATTCACTGCATTAACATCGTAGAGAGTTTAAATATCACATTTAATGCACATATTGTGTTGCACTATAACCCACTTTGCCTTGTAAGACTGAGCTTTATGTCGAACTTCATAGAGTCGTTTCTTATCATTTACAAGTGCAACAAGAATCTGAGCTTTCCTTCTAACATTGCTCCCTTGGTCCCTCCCATTAGAATCAGTATAAAGGAAGTCCGATAATGTCTGTCCTCAAGCATGTTTAGCAGTCTTTTAACATTACTTGAAAATTTGTAATTGCATTTAAGAAGAAAATTATTAATATTTTAAAACATGTCTTACCGAAATTTGATAAGCGCGTTCCCTGACATCATCAATCACTCGTTCGGACCCATAAATGACCAAGTATTCAAGGACAATCAATGCCTACGACAAAACAAACTGATCAACAAGTCAGCATTTTTATATCAGATTGAAACACTAGAGAGTAGAATCTCTCACAATTAGGGGTGTTAAATCGGGTGCAAGTCAGTTTCAGATTTGACCCTAAATTGTCATAACTCAAAACTGTTTAACTCAAAACCAGCACAAGTATTAAATAGGTCAAAAAGTTCAAACCCACCTTCAACCAACTAGTTCGAACCTGACGCATATAACCATTTAACATAAAGCATAACAATTATTTGGGTCAAATTCGAGTTCATCTTGGGTCTATTTCAAGTTAGCTGATTGATTTTGAGTTTATTTTAGGTTAGGGGGTCATTTCAGAGTTGGCATGTCATCCCAAACCATTAGAATTCATACTCCAAACTCGATCCAAAATATATTTAGGTCAACCCGAGCCCAAATTTTTTAGTCAAGTTTGAGTCGACTGAGCTTGTTGGTTCAAGTTTTTACACCCCTACCCATTGTAGAGCGTCAGGTCACATCCTACTAAACCATACTATGACTAAGCCCTTAAAATACAAACAACAGTATATTCCAAAAAAAAAAAAAAAACACGGACAACAGTATGATGCCCTCATCAACGCAAAGTAAAAGGCACAAGGAACAAAATATTTTGACTGGAACCCCTAAGCCAAAAAAAGAGTTCATATAGCACCTTGTAAACATGACGCCAATTTTTTCCAGTGTCTTGTATCCTCTTCCAGAGCACAGCCATGATAAGTTGGTAGTCATTACTGCACCAGTTGCTTGATATGTTAAAAACATGCAGCGAAATAGAATTTTAAAACATAGAAAAAAAAGACAAGGGGAATTTACATACACACCATCCAATTCCTACATATTTACATATCTAGCACCTAAACTTTATTTCTTACATATATAACACCCAAATCTTTCATATCACATAAAAAAACCATCATTTTCATTTTTAACATTTTTAAAAAAATGAAATACACAAAAAATGAAATACACCTTTTCATGCATAGGCAAGGTGATTTGTATGAAAAAATTAAAGTTTAGGCAATAGGTATGTAAATACATAGGAATTGAGTGGTATTTATGTAAATCTTCCAATTAAGCTCACTAGTTGCAGGAAGCTTGTGCAATTTCTGCCATAAGTGGTCCACGAGTACCCCACGGTTCATTGCTTGTAGCATCAAGGGTCTGAGTCCCATAATCCATTTCATTAATGTAAATTAGAAAACTTCATCAAGTGGGTAAATTAATCCATCAGAACTTTGTAAATTAAAAGTTTCTTTAACCATTACTTAATTGCTTCTTTGTATTTTGTTTTGCAAAAAAAAAATGCCATTGCTTCTCTACGCTTATCTTAGTTACAGTTTGGGGCTGAGTGTGAAATAATGCTTTTAATAGTAACATATTTCTTTCCAAAAATATTTGGTTCAAGTTCCCCATCTCCATAACAAATCATTGTGATCTTCATTTTGTTACAAGTTTATAATAGTCATACGAAAAAGCAAATAGGTGGAGATTCATGTAACAAGCATTAATTGTATTTTTCAATTATAGGTCAGAAGAATGGGTAAGGTTGAACATGAACATAGAACCGTATTATATAGTTTTCTTTCTATAATTTCCATCGTGGAACAAAAATGTTCCTATAAATTCTTGTATATAAAGAAAACCTAATTAATAGATACAAAACTTCTTTAAATAAGTACTAAACTAGAAAGTACTAAAAAGTTTTATTTTTTTTATTTTTATATGTTAGGATTGTTCGTAAAAATTATGGCAAAATAAATAGTTTATTTCTCCATAGCAAATAATACAACTACGGACACATAAAATAAAGTATAAACGCCTAGAATTTGAGAGGTATGCAATTATCCCAATTTCTACAACTTGAAAGGTAGGAAATCTCTCCCAAATCCTAAACCTAAGACTCAAGACAATCTTTTGTATAACTCTAATCCCAAACATATTAGCCCTATTTATAATAAAACCAAAATAAATGACAAAAGAATAAATTGCTTGTAGGCTAAAAAAAACAAATTTGCTCTTAGGTGTCGCTCTAACATTATTCCCCTCCCAAAAAGACACCTTATACTAAATCAACATACATGACAAAAGACTAAATTGCTTATAAGCTAACTAAAAGATAAATTTGCCTTTAAGTACCTATCTAATATTATATTAGAAAGTTGAAGAATAAATTTCAGATGAACATTAGAAGCTAAAGTTTAGATTTTAAAGCCAAATATCATTTATTTGGAGACTATATAATGAGGCACTGCAGCCAGTTGATTTTCAATGGCACATAAAAAATGTAATAGAGTGAGTCTAGAGAAGAAAATGTAAGAACAATAAAACAATTTTACAATGCACCCACTATTGACATATGAGATATCAACATTAAACAAGTAATTTTACAGAGATGTGGGAGTAATATGCATATAGTTTTTCTATTGTCAATACCTAAGACGTATATTTTCTAAAATTTTGATAAAAGTATAGATTTCTCTGAAAGCTCTCCAGACACATCTCATTTGACTATAGAAAAATTTGCTAGTAAAGATCATTATAAGCCTATAATTTTCTGCTACATTTGGTATAGAAAAAGGTAAAGAAACAAGTAAAATGAAAATTATAGCATGATCTGCGAGGATTAAAAAAAAAACTTTCCATTTTCTGCTATCAATTAAAAATGTTTTCTGATGAAAAGAACCAACAATAATTTTAAGGTGATATTTGATTACCTTCTGCTCTATGGTAGGAACTTTCAGAAACTTCTTGTTGACCTCCCGCTTACTGGAAAATATAGAGAACATTATAAGGCTGGATTTGACCTTTACAGGTCATTATATTCTAAGCAGAGAAATATGAAGAACCCCGTCAAGGTTATTTACCACCGCTATAGGTCCTTAATGTTAGAGAATGTAATACAAAAAAATATGATTTAAAAAAAAAATTGTTTAAAAACAGAAGGGATAATTTTTTAAACAAATTTACCACCGCTACAGCCCCTTCATATTAAAGAATGTAATACTAAAAATATGATTTCAAATTAAAATTTAAATAAATTAAAAGACTATTTTAAAAACAGAAGAGAGAATTTTTTAAACGAATGCAAACAACAACGTAATTAGGAAAGTAAGGATGAATTTGCCATCCCCCACCCAATAGACAGCTTAAGTGGCAAAGTCACCCATCCAACGGGTCCCTTTGTCATTTTCCCTTTTCCTTGTTTTAACTTCTTGGTTAGACACAAAATCATTGGATCTGGTATGTCATGTAATTTTTAAATAAAAAATTTTAAAGATATGTAGAGTGGTCCTATCCATTTAAATTCTCTCAACAATCCAGATGTGTTCCCCCAATCCATTCATCGTTGTCATGTATCATTCAACAAAAAATTGCACCTGCATGAAATGTTCTCATGTAATTTTATCTTTAACTCTACATAATGCTGTCATAGCTATCAGAATTACATTAATGGTTCAAACGTGTCATTTTCTTCTGTTTAGCATTATAATGCATTCATTCACAACAACAAACCTTTATCTCACTAAGTGGGTGGATTGCCTACATGAATCATTTTCTCCAATGTCTTACTGAGTGTCATATTTTCATTTAATTCAAATATATTAAGATCAATTTTATACAACATCCCAAGTCTTTTCAGGTCTACCTCTACCTTTCTTAACATAAGTTGAATGTAAAACATCTGCTCTCCGAACAGGATCAATAGTGATCGACGTTTAATGCGCCCAAACCATCTAAAACAGCTCTCTATAATCATGTTTGTCGCCGGAGCTACACAACACCTTTCACAAGTATACTTGTTTTGCATTTTTCCTATTAGTGTAAAGCCACTTATCTAACTAAGCATTCACATCTCAACAACACTTCATTTAGTTTTATGCTTCTCTTTTATAGGCCAACAATCTGCGTCATAAAGCATTGCAAGTCTCACCACCATCTCAAAAACTTTTCATTTCTAGTCTAAGCGGTACTTTTCTATCAAACAATTGACTCGATGCATTCCTCCACTTCAACCAACCAATTTGAATTCTACTAATAACATCCCCATCTATATCACCATCACTTTGAAAAGTAGACCCGAGAAATCGAAAACATTCACTCATTTCAATGATTTGATCACCCAGTTTTACAACTCCGCCACTGGATCTACTATTATTAAAATTACATTCCATGTATTAAGTTTTAGATGTACTCAAACGAGGCATTTAGACTCTAAAATTGACCACCATAATTCAAGTTTTTCCTGAACACTTTCTCTAATCTTATCTACAAGAAGGATATCATCAGAGAAAACCATACAACAGGATACATTCTTCTGTAAATGTTCATTAAAAGCATCAAAAACTAAAGCAAAAATATATGGACTTAAGGTCGATCCTTGATGTAATCCAACTCAAATAGGAAAATACTTTATCAATCCTCTTTCTGTTCAAACACAAGTAACAACTCTAGTATCATATCTTCAACGACTTGAATATAATTCATTGCAACGTCTTTCTTTTCTAGAAGTCTCCAAAGAACTTCTCTTGGAACCTTATAATAAACTTTTTTTTCTAAATCAATAAAGATCATATATATAGATATTTCTTACTCTGTTTGTACTTCTCCATCAAACCTCTCAATAAATGTATAGCTTCTATAATAGACTTGTTCGGCATAAATCCAAACTGATTTTGAGAATTCTTTGTATCAAGTTTTAACTTACGGTCAATTACTCTGTTCCATAATTTTAATACATGACACATTAAGTTAATTTTTCTATAATTTGCACACTCTTGTGCATTCCCTTTGTTCTTAAGAAAAAAGACCAAAGTACGCTTCCTCTACTCCTCAAACGTCTTTTTAGTTTTTAAAATAATATTAATAAGTTTTGTAAGAAATATTATGATGCTTCATTCCAAAAGAATAGTTTACGTAAGCATAATAGTCCATTTAGCTGTCAATCCCTCGTTAATGCAGAAGTTATTCGCAACTAAAGTAATGAAGAAAGTCAAATCTATCTCGGATCCTATTGCATCATGATTGAATATATGCATACAATGGATGGCATTAGCCAATTATAAGTTAAAATTCGCAATGCAAGAGTTATTCACAGGACCCTCGTTAATGCAGGAGTTATTCGCAACTGAAGTAATGAAGAAAGTCAAATCTATCTCAAATCCTATTGCATCATGATTGAATATATGCATACAATGGATGACATTAGCCAATTATAAGTTAAAATTAGTAAGTATGATCATCCTCTTCTAAAAAAAGCTCTTTGTAAAATATAATTCTCTCTTATACTTTCGTCATCAATCAACGTTGGCCTAAGCCCATTATAGCGTTACATCATGGAACTGAAATAGAGGCCAACATCCATGCAACACCACTTGATTCATTTTATTAATAGTGTCCTCTAATTGTTACACAGACTACACTAACATGAAACCACTTGCTAGCTTAAAGATCAAACAAGACTCAAGACTCCACTAAAAGAAATCGGTAGCATTTCTAAGATACATATATGGGGCATTTACATACACGCCACACAATTCTTATGTATTTATAAATCTAACACATGAAGTTTGATATTTACATTTATGCCAATTTAGTGCTATTAAATTATGCATAAAAAGGTGCATTTCACTTTTAATGCGTTGTTAAAGATTCGAGAATTATCAGTTTATTAAAGTTTAGATGTCACTTTTAATGCGTTGTTAAAGATTCGAGAATTATCAGTTTATTAAAGTTTAGATGTTAGGTATATAAATTCATAAGAATTGTGTGGTACAGATGTAAATTTCCATATATATATATATATATATATATATATATAGATAGATAGAGAGAGAGCGCCATTACATGATGTTGATTACCGGTAGCTAAAATTAACACAATGACACTTGGAGTATGTCTGTGTTAACACCTGTTTTAATGGGAATGTATTTACAACTCTGCATCGTTTTCAAAAATTTGCATGCCATGCAAACAAATAGGGCTGTTGTAAATAATTAGTTTTCAATTTTAGATCACAAGAAACTGTTCCAACAAATGGAAGATTAACTTATAAAATCCTCAGATGTTAACATTCAGTTACTTGCATCCTTTTTACCATCTAGCATGTAGGGCAAAAGTTATCAATGGTTTTTTCAAAAATGAATTTGATCAAGTATTTTTTTTCACGAAAATTTACATATGTAACACACAATATTTACATATTTTCATATCTCATACCTAAACTTTCATATTTGAATTCATGGTTGGTTTATTAAATCTAAATTTAACATGAACCAAAGGCAAAATTCGAACCCTAAAACCGAAATTTCATAAATACATAGAACTAGCATTTTTTTATGTTTGGCTGGATTTAGTAAATGAAAATATGACACTAAATAGGACGCAATGGAGAAAAAGAATTCATGTAGCCGACCCCACTTAGTGGGATAATGATTTTGTTGTTGTTGCTGTTGTTGTTGGCTGGATTTAGTAAACCTAATGGATAAATCCTCTTAAAAAGTGGTAATACTGCTATTTCTAATGCGATATCAAAGATTTTAGTGCTATGTGTGTAAATATTAAAGTTTAGGAGTGAGATATGTAAATACATAAGAACTGCGTGCTATGTATGTAAATGCCCATTTTTTAATGGAATACCGCACTAAAAAAGACAAATTGCATAGCAATTACCAAATTGTGTGTAATGTATGAAATGTTCTTACAGCTCTCTAACAGTTTGGTCTAAGGCTTTCTTCATCATTCCTGGATCAATAGATTCTCGCCAGATTGCTAGAAGCTTTAATGCTGCTCGGCTGGCCAAAAGAATTCAACTCTCAAGATTACTATTGACAATAAAATAAGTATAAGTCGGGAAAAGAATTAATAACAGAACTTCTGCAATATTATTAACTAGAACAATTGTAAAATCAGTAGAAACAGTTAAAGAAAAAATCAATTTACGAATTTTTACAAAACAAGGCACTTTAGAAACATGAAATCAAAGAGGACAGAATGCACTGCTGTTTAGATGCATCAATCAAACTGTTGTAAATAATGCGATCTAATTCTCTTTTCAACAATCTCAAAATCGCATCTAATCACATTATTCTCAGTCTCGAATAAAATAAATAAGTAATTAAGAATCATAATAATGACAATGAAGTTACGGAGCGATTATCCCGCACGTCAGCCAAAAATAATAAAAAAAAACAACAAAAACCCTCCAAAAATGCCGCATTATCAGAAAACAAGAATGCAATGAACAATTGAACATCCCGCAACGGACGATGAGAGTTTACTGTCGGAGCAACAAGAATCCGAAACGAAAGAATAAGCACTCCATCCGATCAACTCACCGCGAGAACGCAGATGAATCGAAACCACTCGATCATACGCAAACTGGTGATCCGGCATAAGATTGGTGGCCGATACGGACAGGATCGGTTAGGGAAGATGATGATGGAAGATAGGATTAGATGGGAGAGACGAAGAGGAGAAGGGAAACCAGAGATCTCGACATGCTGTTCTCACGAATCAATGGCGGAAGAGAGGTGCGGTTTGGTTTCCGGAACGCAGTTAAAAGAAGGAAGGGGCAATTACATTAAAAAATATTACATTTCGAAATTGGCTCCTCTTCCAAATGGCTTCGGCTCGAAAATTCTATTCATATATTCGTGTTTGGCTCCGGTTCGAAATTAGCTCATTATATATCAAATTATTATAATAATTATATTTTAATAAAATTAAAATAATAATTTCTTAAAAAATTTTATTTGTATAAAAATTAATTAATTACAATTTATAATATTTAATTTTTCTGAATATTTATTATATTTATTTATTTATTTATTTATTTTCAAGTCAATTCGAGTCTAACACGAGCAAACAAATTTTGTTCTTGTTTGGCTCGTTTACATTTCGAGCTTAAAAATTTATTTAGGTTCAGCTCTTTAGGCTTAACGAACGAGTTGAACACGAGTTGCTTAACAAGTCGAGCTTGAGTTGTTCGCAAACAACGAGCCAAATTGATAGCTCTACTTGTCATGTGACAAGTGGGTCTGAGTTTTTTTGAGTGGGGTCCACTTGCCACGTGACACACTTCTACTGGACTCCAGACTCCGGACTCAAATTTTGAGTCTTGAGCGGGGATATAATATTTTTTTCAATCTAAAACTTGGTATTTACAAATAAGCCCCCATTTTTGTTCATTTTACAAATTCTCACTCAAATATCAAATATTATGGTACAATATCTTTCATTTATATCAAATTTTAATATCTAAATACATCTATTTATGCTCTGATTGTGACAGCTGCAACTTATTTAAAAATACTGCTAAAAAATAATCTGTTGTTTAAAAAAATTACGTGCCATTATTATTGTTATTATTTTAAAAAAGTCTGCCTTCACCTAAAAAACTATCTCCACAACTAGAAAGATCCGGTGTTAAAATGTTGTTTTCAGCGGTCTGAAAAAGTAATTTTTTGGAAAAACTGTCAAAATTCAGTTTTTCCCCAAATAAGTAGAACGCATCTTTGTAAATATCAATATTTCGGATAATCTTTATGTAATTCTCCAAAAAAAAATTAATAAAATGGTTACATAGTACACAATTTTTATGTTTATATACATGCCACGCCTAAAATTTCATAGTTACTCATATAAAATTTATATGAATAATACCATTAAAAAAAGTAATTACATTAATAGCACATGAAATATTATTATTTATAAAATTAGCACTCATAATTACCCATTTTTATAAATTCTCAGCCCATATTTTTCATTTAAGCCGATAGTTTGATAATGACACACTTAAATGAACCATTTCAATAATTAAAAAAATTAATATGGGTGCTAGTTTTATAAATAATAAAGTTACAAGTGTTAATCATATGATTATTAAAAAAAAATAGATATATAGCATAAAAATTTAATTTTAAATTATGAAATTTATCTTGAGAAAATTTTACAGAATTTGTATTTTTTTTTATAAATGTAATTCTAACTTTTAGTTATTAGTGCATTATCATGCTCAAAATCATGAATTCATAATGGTGGGAAATTATTGCTTCCGACCGTCGTATGCTCCGATGACCGTTCGGATGGGTCGTCATACGATACACAGCGGCCAGACCATTAGGGCTGTCAAAAAAGCTAGTTGTTCGCGTAGAGTTCGTGTTCGGCTTGTCAGGGAGTTCGCGTTCAATTCGTTCGATAAACAAACGAGACAAACACAAACACTTTTTTTTTCATTTGGTTTGTTAAATGAACCAAATACAACCAGAGATGCATTTGTTCGTGTTCGAATCATTATTGTTTGAAATAAAAATTAATTTAATATAATTATATATAAAAAATTATAATACTTTAAAACTAATTATACACTTTAAAAAATTTATCATTCTAAAAAAAAAGAAATCCTACAAATTATAATATA